CCATAATATCATATCTAATTTAAATTTATCTTATAAATTTAAATTATAAAATTGACATGATACTCTCTCTTATCATGTTAGTTATTAAATTTAATCTATCATATAAAATTAAATTTAAAACTAGCATAATATAACATAATATAATATCATATCATATAATATATATCACGTATACATATTATATTATATATATATATATATGAATATATACATATATACATATATATTTCAAAAATATATATATATATATATATTATATTATCTATATTTAATTTTACACATCATATACATATATCATATATATATATATATATATTTGATACACACACACACACATATGGATATATATATATATATATACATTTTGAAAAATATATATATACACATATATATAAAATTATATTTTGAATTTTATATTTCATATAAATACAAAAATATATATATAGTTATCAAATAAATATTCAAATATATATATATATATATACATAAAATTCATTCACCTTATATTACATTTATTAAATCTAGACATATTTTAGATTCAACAAACTTGGACATTATAGCCCGAATTGGGCCGTTCTTGTGTACGACCCTGTAAGACCATATGAAATTAGTAGTAGGCTAATTACGCTATTAGCCCACAAGTCACAAGTGGCTTCTAGCAAAATATTGCAACTATCCAATTCATATGGGGATCGATGATTCAATGTAACCTATCATACAATCATATCACATCCCTTTTGTCACGCTATATTTTGAACAAGTATGAGACATAAAATTGTCATTATCCTTTACTTGACCGTTACTTTCTCGATCTCTGGGTAAACTGACAATAGCAATGAAAAAAACCATTTCTATTATAGTGTGGCCATACATTTTCTCAGTCTTACTCATTGAGGGGCCCAATAATATCTCTCACTTAATATGAGGGATAAATTTCATCTTGACCACTCATATTCCTCTGTATGAATATCACTAAACTCAATCTTAGCCTTTATGATCACTCGGTTAAAGGTGACTTTTGACTAGGTCAAAATTCAGTGGTCATCATGTAAGAATTCATGATGATCTCAGGTCAAAGCACTTAGTGATATAGTTACATATGAGATAAGCTTATGACTTGTACTATGCAGTTTTCTCATAGTGGGTTGGTCCAGTACTTTGTACTCTTTTAGGTGCCTATGACTTTAATTTGTATCTCTATAATTAATCAAAATCACACTAGTCTTGTTTCATCTATAATCTCTCAAAGATGACCGATCAGGGACATTTAGGACAATCACTATAATTTGTCTAGGCATATAGTTATCATATTTAACATGTAATTCTTATGATAATAAAAGAGAAATTTATTAAATAATAATATACATAGTACAATGATTGGCCTTAGGGCACAATTTCCAACAAGAGTAACACAAGATTCATTAGGATGCTAAGGCAACATCTGATTGTTCTTAAATGTCAATTAGATGCCAAGAACAAACAGGTTAAGGAAGTAAGTTTAATGTTATCATTTTTTCCTTTAAAAGCCTTTAGAGTTAAGTGGTTCTTCTTATGGAAAATTGAGTTATATTATTGGGGGTTTTAAGTGATACAACCTTGTCATTGATTTACTTGATAATTCTAATGGTATCTGAAAGGAAATCTACGATCATTGCTATTCAATTCCCTCCTATCAATTTATGTGCCTCGGGTTGTTGGCTTGAGTTTGGCTTTGTTGTTTTTATGCAACGGCCTTGAAAATATTATAAATGGACTTTTAAAGTAAGACTTGGATTCCTATGTGGAATCTTTCCTGCACAGAGTGGTACCATATTTTTTTGCACGATGTTTCTTTTAACATCCTAAACTTTTAATTAGAGAAACTAATGATTAATTAAAGGTAAATTAATAATTAGTAGATTAATTGTGGATTTGGATGGTATATTAGTGTTTTAACTTATTAGATTGTCGAATGATTAGGATCGGGTGATGGTACAATGATCCAAAATAGTGTGTGCTAGCCACTGTGAAAAGTGTCTCACTATGTCACACACCAGAACATGTATGCATGTGTCTTAGTGCTTGGCATAGAATTTGGACAAAAAGGACATGAGTCAACTCATGAAATGAGAGGAAAAGAGGAGGAAAAGAATGCATGAGAAGGAGAGTGAGGGTCAGCTAGGGCTTTGGTTTTGGATGATTTGGAGTTAGCTCCAACCAATGACTTACTAAATAAGCTCTGTACAGCCTATACTTCATTTTTACCATAATTTCTCTAAGTTTGGATGATCAAGAAATTGAATCAGGAAGTTTTAAGAGGATAAATTTTGAGTTAAAGGTTGGGAAAGGGCTTTTGGGTACAAAACTAAGGTTTTGCAAATGGTTTTGGGTTTGGTGGTTGAGCCTTAGAGGTGTAGACTCAAATTGACCTAAATTGTAAAGTTGAAAAGGGCAAAAGTGTTTTTTAAGTGTAGGAGAAAGGTGTTTTGGTCATTTTATGACCCAAGTGGGTGTGATTATGGTAAGTGAGTTAAGTGGACCCAAGTGCTAATGAGACTGTTATAAGTGCTAAGTAATGTGGATTAGCCAAATTGTGCTTTGTTTTGAGCTTGGGAATTAACTATGGGCACCTAATTGTGTAGATTGAGCATTTCAAGGCTGTTCATAGAAATTTTCATCTATTAGTTTGTGAAATTATTTACAAGTCATCTATGTAAACTATATGTGCCATGATTTATAAAATGAGAGAGTAGCATTTTTGTGAAAAATAATGCATGTGTGAGTAAATGATGATGCATGGAAAGCATGTGGTGGCACAAGTACATAAGCATACATGTGATACCCTGGTATGAGGTATAGGCTTGTGTCCTTGCTTTGTGTAAGGCAAGGAAGTCATAGTGGTCTAAAGCATTGATTATAATCTGCTAGTGGGACTCAGATGATGCATTCATAGTGATACCCTAGTCTGAGGTAGCAGTTCATGGCCCTGCTTCATGTAAGGCTAGAAAGTTCTAATGGTCTAAATCATTGATTATTAGGCTAAGGTTAGCTTCTCTTTAAGCTTCACAAAGGCAGATTTGCACATATCATCCCAAGAAAAAGGCTTATCCTTTCACATCAGATGAGTTAAAGGAATGGCTATGCGTGAAAACCCTTGAATAAATCTTCTATAATATCCAACCAAACCCAGAAAACTTCGCACCTCAATTATAGAACTCAACCACTCCCATTGCAATACTACATCTACCTTGTGTAGATCCAATGAAAAAAATGATTAAAACTTAAGCATAAACCTGCACCACATTTTTCAATGCTAAAAGACAAACTCATCCACTCAATTATCAAATGCCAATTTTTTTAGCCAACTATCAGATGTCAGCAAAGACCAATGCACTAATCATTGACAAACCAAACACGCACACAACCAATTAGTTTAGGATGAGCAATGTCTTCATTGAAAACTTTACAAGATGTCATCTTTTCAACAAATAAGAGAAAATTTTAGTAAAATTAATTATATTTTTTAGTTACATATACAAACTTAACCTTTTCACATGCACATGTAAGTCAAGTAAGTGGCTTGCAATTGATGTAATTTGACCCCCAAAAAAAAAAAAAAAAACACATGTTCGCGTTCTGCAGTTGGGGAAAATAATAATTCTTGTTCTTACTATCACAGTAAACCCTTTATTATCATGGTAGGTTTTGGAGAAATATCTATAATTATGAAAATATCTTTTACTCTTTCTACCATATAAGTGTTTTTGAAGTTGAGATTTGTTTAATGACTCTTTATCTTGGAAAAAAAAAATGGATCGAAATTTCGTAGTGTTACACAACCAAGTTTGCTTGGTTTTATGTTGATTTATTCTAGTTCATGAAGATAATTTCTTTTCAAACCAAAAGCTGTTAAAGCTTTGGTATACCAAATCCTACGAGATATTTCTCAAAGAACTGATTACCGATGGTCGGATTGATAATAATTAGTTCTTCTTAATGCTCACGGTGCTTCTAAAATTCTATTATGGACTAGTTTTTGTACTGGTTGTTGATTGCTATAATGTGAGCATTCAAACTTATCATCTGCATGAGTTAGAATCTAGCAATATCGACCGCGATCTTCTTCAGTCCAAGTCTTTATTTTGTTCAAGTTTGTACTTTTTTCTGTTTATTGGTTTCGATTTTGGTCTTGTAGTTAGTTACTTACTTTCTTTGGGCCTTCAGTTTTTGTTCTAAATGCCCCATTATGTTGTATTTCATTATATATATATATATATATATATAATTGCTGGTTATAAAAAGAAAATTTAAATTTAGTTATATATTTTTATGTAAAATTATAATAATAATTTTATAAAAAATTAAATTAGAATTGTTGAAAATTTTGATCTGTCAATGATGAAGAAAAAAGAAGGAAAAATGAGTGAGAGAAAAGAAAATGGTTTCTACTACTGTCAGAACGCCAATCATTTTTCTCACTCATTTTACAAACCCTCCCCTATCCTATGGCGTTATTTGCATGACTCGAAGGACCAAATCTTGATTCATGAAATTCAATCTTTCTGAAGCCTGTTTATTTTGGTGTTTTTAATTCCAATAATTTTTCTTTTTTCAGATTGAAGACCCTATCTTCTTTGAAATACGTCTCTTTTTCTTTTTACATTTTATTTGTGAACTTCTCTATTTGTTAAAGGCTCTATCAAAAATAAAATTTATCCTCTGAAGGAGGGGAAATTTAAAAAAAAAAAGGGGGGGGGGAGGCTTGCATTTATCAGCACTATAAGAACAATAATAACAAAGAAAATAGAGAAAATCCATCTTCTTATTTTCCACTTTGATTTTCTTCATATTTTCTATCCGTTTGATTTTTCCCCTTATAATTTTTCTTTTCCATGTTTTTCTCTCTATTCTTACATAGGGTTAGTTAATTTCCTTCTAGGCAAGTCATCTCAACTGAGTAGAAATGATATAATGAATTTTATATATATATATATATATATATCTAAACCATAAATTAAGAGTTAGTAGAATCACAAATTAATAAATTTGCAACGTGAGCACCAGCACATATATGTTACTATATATTAGTTTTTTTTCTATTTAAATAATAAGGAAAAATTTTACATATGAGGTCCAAGTGGCATCCGACTCATTATATCTTGATATACTGATGAACCAGCGGGTATGCTAACCCCGCGGTCTGGAATGGGATCCAAATTGGGCTCTCCTTTGGGCAACATAAAGCCCATTTCATTTGGTGGACATTGATGTGGCAAGAATGGATGAACAGGCATAATGGGAAGTTTAGCATGGGCCGGGCCCAAAGCTGCCACAGTTGCTAGATTGGGGAAACCTGATTGGTTCATTCCAATTCCAAATGAAAAGCCCCCATGCCCTAGCTGTGGCCTCCCAGGACCAGGCCCAGCCCCAGGTAAGCTAAACGAGCGCAGGCCCAAAGCAGGCCTATCAAGCCTTCCAATACCGTTATGAACCTGTGGAGCTTCAGCCCTGTGGCCATGAATAACAGAAGTTGCTTGAGCAGCAGCACTAGAAGCTGCAGCATTGCCTTGATTGCTATTGCGGGCTGCAGGAACATCGTGATTGTGCTTTCCTTCATAAGTAGTGATCACAGATTTTAGGTCATGGGATGCTCTCTCTACATGCTTCCTTACTGTGCAACCAACATTGGTGCACTTATAGTAACTCCTGCATTAAAACCCGTTTCTCATCTCATGCACAATCAGCTATAGATACACACACACACACACAAATATTGATGTGCATAGATGTGTCAGTGTTTGTGCGCATACATATATATATATATACTCCTTCCATTCAATATTATAAAACATTTTGGATCAAATCATACCTCCTAATGAGTTAGCTAATTGTATTAATTATTACATTTTATTTTCATGTTTACCACTAATTAAGGATTTTTCTTTTCTTTTTTTCTTTTGGGGGGGAGTGGGGAGGGACTCTTTAATTCACTTTAAAAAACTTAAAATATCTTTTATTTTTTAACTAAGAAAGTATGCGCGCATGCTTATGCATTTATGACAGAATACAGCTACAAAGGAATGCTGACCTGGGATTGGGATTTCCTTTGACAACTTTTTGTCCGTATTTTCGCCAACGATATCCATCATCAAGAATATCTACTTCGCTGGTAGTTTGAACAACTACTCTAGGCTCCCGAATAGCTCTCGTGGCTCCACTCAATTCTGCCGTATTTGGATAAGATTCCAGTTTTCTGGGAAGATAGTATTTCGTTGATTTTAGCAGCTGAGAGAGGCGTTATTTTTTAAAAGGGGGAAAAAAATCAAAGAATACCTTCTTTTAGACTCTGATTCATCTCCTTCTCCTTCATATCCTGCTGATACACTGCCATGAGTACCCCTATCATCATCATCCTCATCGTTAGAGAAAGTAGATGAGGCATCCACTGCGTCTCCTGATTCAAATCGAGCACCATTCTGACCCAGCAAATTGGTGGACTGGTTGCAGAATTCAGGGCCTACAGATGCTGCTGCTGGTGAGGTCACTTCAGGGTTCTCATACTTCCAATCAGTATTATTTCTAGCTATATTCCCTTTTTGTGTGCTTGCCCAGCCCAGTTCACCATCACCCCCACCCTGTGGTTCAGCACTTTCGGATATGTCTGCTTGCATGTCACTGAGAGGGTTGTTGACAGACCCTATTGCAGATCTGCGATTTGTGGGAGGTTTTGGATGGTTGTGATTTCCCTTGTAGATGATTTCTGTTATGTGGCCCTCGTGAGATCTTTCCACTTTCTTCTTTACCGGACAATTTGTATTCGTGCATTTGTAGTAACTTCGTGGAAACTCACTACCTTTAACATGTTTTTGTCCATATTTTCTCCAGTTATAACCATCCTCAGATGGTGTGCCCCCAGCACCAGCAGCCGGGGAGTCTCCATTTCCTCTTTGATCTCCTTCTTCATCTGCTGGCTCCTCAACGGATGCTTTATTATCATTTTGACTCGGAGAGTCAGTAAAGTCAGGAGCTGAGCCCGAAACCTCCACAGTAAGATACTGTTCTGGCAGCGTGGTTGGATTAATCTGCAAAGATACCAAACCGTGTCATTGCCTTTAAAAAGTTGTCCCATATAATGCATCATGAGGTAAATAAACTTCATCTAGAAATATGTTTTTCAGAATGTGATTACTTTTGTAGAAGCATCATTATAGAAAGAGCCCAAATCTGTTGTAGTCTTGAAAGCAAACGATGATGCATAGATGTCATCAAAGTCGTTATCTTTAGATTTTTCAGGAGAACCAGAGTTTGGTTCTGAGCCACGGAAGTTGCCATTTGCAATAAATGGAAACTTTCCGGTGGTTGGAGACGGTTGTGCCTGCAATTACACAGTTTCATACTTCAGAGGGGGCTAAACAAATTTGACAGAATCATATATCAGCTTCCAAAAATATTAAAATGATGATTGCTGGTATCTCTGGCTGAAAGTATGTTGAAAGAAGAAAAATGTATAGCTCTATGCTAGCAAAGAGCTCTGATATTTTTACCGGATGTCATGTAAAAGTGGAAAATGTATGCACAAAAGCATAGAATTTTGCTTATCATAAATTAGGCTAACAGTACCAAGATACTAATACTATAACAACAATAATAAGTCTTATCACACTGAGCGTGGCTACATGAATCACATTATGCCATTAAACACTATCAAAAATAAACCGTTCAGAAATATCATTCATCTTATGACCCTGTTGTATAACTTCTCAAGGTGATTGTGCTAAGCTATGATACTGTAAAACTCATATCATATCTTAAAGAAATTTTCAGCACTCAAAAGTGTGAAAATAACAGAAAGAGGCAAGCAAGAAAGTTCATGAACTGTAACCAGTCAAAATTCAAGCCATGAAAACTCAAGTTACTCATTAAGGCCTACATTTTAATTGGGAAAAAAGAATCCAAGTCTCCACCAAAAACTACACTAGCAATACATAAGTGTGTCAAATATTATGCCACCCAGAGTGATCTAATCTAACATATATTTGTGCCGTGAGGGGTAATGCACATTTGTGCTTTTCAGCAGCAAGATAGACAATAGGATCTATCATTGTTTTGAAAGTATTTCGATGTGCCAGAAGGCAAAAAGGGCTGATAATACATCATAATTATAAATCAAGCAACTCCATTCAAGGTGTTTAAAGATGATTTCCCAGCAATTAATAGAATTCTGGAAAACCAACATTGGATTAACTTCTGTCAGAGCTCAATTTGAAAGTGAGACCTTCTAATCCATGTGACAAGAACACTGTTCCACTTCAAATACCAAACTGAGAAATAAAAATATTGCACGTAATACTTTAGATTTAGAGCTCACACACCAGCGAATTAGAAAGGAACACCGGCGACTCCAAAAGTGAGGTGGGACTGAGGCCAGGCGGTATGGTAAAGTAAGCAGATCGAGCATCTAAATTAAGTGTAGGATCAGCTGATCTAATGCTTTCAGTATTCAACCTTGGGGCATTAAATCCAGCTCTAGCAGCCATCCTTTCAACCAGGTTTCCTCGTGAGCTAGACTTATTGTCAGACAAAGAAGTTGAGTCAGTTAATTGGCCACCAGAAGCATCATCTTGTGGTGGTGCTCTATCTCTTGTGTTGAAATTTCCAGTCATAATGAGCTCTTCATTTCGCAGAAAGGACTCCCCAGTTCTACTACCACTTCCAGGAGGCTCTGAGATTTGTCTTGTAAGATTATCTTCACCAAGCATCTTAGAGAAAAACGTTCTCGGACTCGGAGTAGGAGGACCCCAGTCGCTAATTAAAGTAACATTATCATCAATCCCAGCCATGAAGACCTCGATTTAGGACCGCCTAGACTGCAACATCGTATTTCTGATAGGCTCGTGAATGATACAACAATGGAGAAAGCTATCATTAAGGCATAAAAAATAACATTCGAATTCCCTCGCCCTTACCCATTAAAAAAACGAAACTAAAAACTGTTCATGTGCGCGAGTTTAAAATCAGAAATGAATTTGGTTAAATCAGTAGCTGAGGAAGCCAAAGACAATCTTAATATACCGCTAATTGAAGATCGTAAGAACGAAATGTAATATATAAGAATATGATTGGCAGCTTCAACCATAAATTTAAAAATCTGCAGCTCCAATGAAAAGAAAAAGTTATTCCAGAAAGCTAAAATTTAAGATCTACCAGCACCAAACCGAGGGCATCATCCAGTTTTACAAAAGTAAAACAAAAAACTGAAATACGACGAAAGGAGTAAACGGAGCATACTCTAGTCACAAAATGTCGATGAACAATATTTATTTGAGATTATCACCCAAGTAAGGAGGAGGAAGATAACACGAGTGGGGGAGGGAGGGAGAGAGAGAGAGAGAGAGAGAGAATTCCCAATATTGTAATGAAGAGGCCAATTATGTAAGAGAGAAGGAACCAAAATTAATAAATTCATAAAATTAATGACAAAATACAAACAAACAAACCCAGAGAGTGGATGATTATGAAAACAATACCACCAAGGAAGGGCAGCGGCAGAAGCAGACCGGAACACGAGAGACCCGACTCTGACCCGACCCAGATCAAGAAATTGATTGTTGCTTTGTTTCTTCCCTTCCCTCTGAATTCAGAAGGAAACCTGAGGAAAAAAACACAAGTCTGGGTCTGTCTGTGAAGGCTCTGAATGTCTCTGTGTCTTTGAATTTACATCCCAAATTGAAATGATGATGCTGTGGAAGAAGAATAGTAACAAAAAGAAATTGAATATTTTTATAGCATTGTTATTAATAAATAATTAAAAGCAAAAGCGAGAAGGACTTTGTGGGGAAGGTGGAGGGGAAAAGGAGAGATGATTGTGTAATGGTGGTGGACCGGAAAATGGATGGAATCTTTGACAGATATATGGGGCGAGAGAGAGACAAAAGCTTGGATCTTTAATCTTTTTCAGACACTCTCACGCAGATTGGTTCCGTGAATAATCATTAATTTTGATTTTAAATGCCAGTAATTTGTCATTTACTTGTGTTTAAGAATAATACTCAAATTGTGGCGTGCAGGTATAGTATATTTATAACCTAATGATAAAAATATGAAAAATAAACGGAAGTGATGCCTCTTTTGTGTGAGAATGAAGCAGCGTGGTGTAAAATCTGGGGCGAGTTAATAGTGATCTGTTTTTTGTTATGTTAATTATGTGTAAAGCTATGATGGGATGTCAGGTTAAGCTCTAAGCTTAACCACAAATTGCAATTTCATGTTTCAACCTAACCACCTATTCTCATTCCTTTCCATCTAATTCACATCCCATACAACTCGGATTTCTAGTTTCTCGTGGCAAACCGTTATCCTATCTATCTATATATATAATTTCACTACAGAGATAATAATGAAAAAAAATTCTTGCAAAATTATACTTGTCTTTTTATCAGACATAATCTCTCTATTATGCGTAACATACACTATACGGAGAGAAGAACTCAAGGTTGGGCAAGTCCCACTAACAAATGCGACTCATTTAATCCCACAAATCACTCTCTCATTTAATCCCATAACATTAAAATTTAAATTTAAATGTTATCACAAATATTTGGAGAAACATTAAAGAAATAAAAAAAAAAAAGCAAAATTACACAAAATTCAGTGAAACGTTGAAGGGAATTTTAAGAATTCTTTTTTAAGGTATTGTCAAACTATTGAAATAACTTTCCTCAACTCACTCATAAATTTAAATTAAATATAAAATCAATTAAACTGTTAAGTTGACACTCCAAATTTATTATTTTTACATTTTTAATTTAAAAAATTATGTCAACTCGTTCATAAATTTAAATTAAATGTAAATTCATTATTTTTTCATTGAGTTAAACAAGTTAAGTATATATCATGTAGAACTTAGTTCATAGAAATAGAAGAACACTGTTCACAGAAAGATAAAATATAAAAAAAAATTAATATTAATAAAAGGGTGAATATTAAAATATTAAAAATAAGTTACCCTATTTTCAAATTTCTATATTGAGCATGATAATCTATTAATGTGATAGATTTAATTTCAATGATTTATATTTCTAATATATTTAAATCAAATTATATTAGGAAAAATGATAATAAAATTCCTTTGAATTATATAAATGACATTTTGATCCCTCAAAATGTCATAATTTCTTTGAAATACCTAAAGACTTTTCTGTCATTAAGAAATTAATATAAATGATTAAATTGCCCTTAGTCCAAAATTTCAAATATGAATTTGCAAATTACTGTTGCATTCATATATGAAAAAATTTATGAATCTTGAAACAAAACTTGTGAATGACAATTTATATTTAAATTAAGGGTAATTTAATCATTTATATTAATTTGTCAATGACATAAAAGTTCCTAAAGAGGTCATTGGTATTATAACATTTCAAAAAATTAAATTATCATTTATATAATTCAAAGGGATTTTATTATCATTTTCTTATTATATTATGGTTATGTTTTATATTTTAATTTTTTAAATTATATATTTTTAATAATTATTTATTAATAAAGGTAAATTCTTATCAGTTTATTATCCAAATTTGCATTCTTGTTATAACTTTGGTTGTATAGAGTCCATAAAAAACTACATTTATTCATAGATTTTTAATAGTATATGGCTTTCGATCAATATTTTTATATTTTATATTGATTTATTAATTTGGATATGCATGGAATGTTGTAATGGAATGCCATCTATAGGCCACATTAGATGAATCATTTCTTCGTGAAAAACATTTCTTTTTTAACGTTTTGTGATTACTTTGTGTCATATCTGAATGTTTCCTTGTCAATGGGTATGCATTCCTTGGACGCCAATCATGGTATGGGTCCCAACCTTCATTTTTCAGAGCACATTGGACTGTCTACGTGAACAGGGCTTCTCGTGAAACAAACGAGTTCACATAGTTATTGTACGGAGCTCTCAGGGAAGCGAAAGAACTACCAAGTGGTGATGAGCTTCATCATAAGTCTGTGACAGTTCAGGCTTTTTGCAGAAACGGATAAGAGCAAATGCAGCTGTAGTTCTAACTTTGAAATAATAATAATAATCGGTAAAATGACAATTTTGCCTGTAAACAAGGAAGAATCACACTGCAGTCTTCATAAGAGAAAAAATTTGCATTACAGGCTTAATATATTATGTTATTATACTGCAGGCTCAAGGATACTTGTTATAATTTTTTTTTGAAAGAAAAAGTACAATTTTATCCTTATATGATTTGGAAACTCAAATCATGCACAATACAATGTTCATTAATACACAATACAATATTTATGCGTGTTTAATTGATCAGTAGGTTTAATAAAATGTACAAGTGACGCACACAATATACAACACAATGTCCATAATACATAACAGTGTTGTGAGTCCATGAACCTTATATTGTACATGCTCTACGTGATTTTATTTTAATTAATATATAGATCAACTGAACATGCATGAATATTGTGTTAAAAATTCATGGACATTGTATTGTGCATCCATGGTTATTATGTTATACATGCTCTATATGATGTATATTTTAACTTACAGATCAACTGAATACACATGGACATCATGTTGTGCATCTATGGACATCATGTTATACATGATATAAGTTTTCAAGTCACACAAAGGCAAAATTGTACTTTCACTCTCAAGAAGAATTGCAACAAGGCCCTTGGAAATTAATTTATCCTCCCTCCCCTTAATCTAATTGACAGAATTATGATGTTGAGGCTTAATTTGATAGGGTAGTCATTGTGGGCTCTTCACATAGCATGACAAGGACTTAATGGAGAGGGAGAAGGTTGTTATTAAAGAGTTTCTTGATGATATGGACAAAGTTTATGATGAGAATGCATTGCTTAGGAGAGGAAACAATGGTTAGAGATTCTATGAAGAGATTATTGCCATGCAAGAAGATTTAAAGCAATTAAAGAGAAGATTTGCAAAGAATGAAATTGAGCTTTAAAGTTGTGAAAGGAGGTTTAAATTTGTCACGGTAGTATTGTTGCTATCTTGGGTCTTTTTCTATTTGATAAACATGAGTTTGTGTGTTGTTTAGAAGCTGCACATGATTTTGTTCAGGTAGTATTTTGACTCTTTCTATATAAAATTTGAAGACAAATTACTATCATGAACAAACAAGGAAGCTGAACACATTCATGAGCAAACTTGTAATGGTAGTATTTTTGTAAGTACTTGTTGCTATTTTGGCAAAAAAAAAAAGTTTTTGTTGTTATGTTGACTCTTTTTTTAGAACGAACAAACAAGGAAGTTGAAAAATATCATTGATAGAAACTGAATGACTTGCTCATAGATAGGGAATTTGAACACAAAATTTTTATAAGATTGACTTACTCGTAAAAGTTGAACAAAAAATTTCATAAAGGCTAAACACATTGATTATAATAGCATTGATAAACCCTATTCATAAATAGAGAATTTGAACCCATCATGTAATGCAAGACAATCTAAATACACAGCATGGGTGTTACAAAATACACAACCTAAGTACACAAGATAAAAGTTATGATCAATTCAACATGAGTATTGTAAAATCAAAACATATAATGTAAGACAATCTAAATATCAACCCTCCTTGACTTGGCTTTTTGTCTTTCTAATTCTCTTTTCTCATTTTGCTAATAGATGAGAGCTTGTCACAAGGTTGTCCATTCCACTTGAGTCCTAGGGGTTTGAATGGGATCTATGAAGGCTGTATACTAAAGGTGCCTGCACCATTAAACGGGATCCTCCTTGAACCAATTGCACCCGTGGAAGAATTTTGCCTGGATGTCCTCATTTCCTTCTCATTAGGTATAGGGAATGTGCCTCAAGGTCACCATAATGTGCCATATACTCTTGTGCACTAGCCTCCTTAATGACTTGCTCAGAACTTAGTCTAGCCTACACAAAAACATGTCATGAGATCATTGAAATCATTAAAATGGTATTTGACAAATACATAACATAGTCACTCATATAGTACACTATTCTTCTAGTTTCCTCTTCAATTCTAATCCCAAATCCAATTGCCCTCCTCAAGGACTTCCTTTGAATTGGTTGCTTACTCCTCATAGATGGACTTGATTGCTGTTCTTATGTCACTTGGCTTAGTGGGGTCACTTGTTCTTGAGTTAGTTGACTTTATTGAGTTACTTGACTTGTTGAACTTTTTCTGAAAACAAATTGCCATTAAACAATTAGTATAAATTATATAATGATAAAGATATTATGAGAATAACAAATTATCATGTGCCTCTTTAGAATGAAATTTCTTGTGACCCCTTTTTTTTCAAACACTATATGATGCTTCCTCCTTTCTTGCTCAATTTTTCTAGCCTGTTAGGATTTCTATGGATATGTATGGACCTCCTCTGGTTTGCTTCTTCAAACCTTACTCGCTTTTTCCTTAGTCCTTCGAGTAGGTAACTAGTAGGGGTAATATGGGTAAATAATTCTCTATGTCCCAAAATTGTTTACCCCTCATTGGCTAAAGTTTTTCCCTATAACTCCTTATGTATATGTCCTTATGGTAGTAAGATGAAATTTTAGTTAGGGGGTCCACCTTTGCATGGTATAGTGCACAAAGGCCATGTTAGTATGGGATTCAAATCAAATCCCATGCCCGACAAGTACACATCTTCCTAGTAATATAAACTGTGTATCTATCTTGGCCTTCAGTGACCTCATAACCTTTATCACCATTAAGCACAACCCTACACGTCATAGCTAAGCCTATAATTGTAGTAAATAAAGACATACATTAAGGGCTATAATCACTCTACCACTTGCTATTCACTCTCAGCCCATTTTTACATCATTTTCACTCTTAAACCATCAAACATCCTTATGACTAGAAGATATTGATATTCATCTATCTATGCATTTAAATTCTCACTACAATTATTATCAACCACCCAAGACTTACACCTAGTACAAAAGTATGCTCTTACCCATGCTTAAGTAGGATAACTCAAGGCTGACTCATATTCTTCTCTACATAGTTTACCCATAGCCTTTAAGTTGTCTTTGAACATTTGATCAAATGTACTCCATACACTGGCAAAGAACTTATTCCTCAGTTCTTCCCCCCTTCATCTTCTACTCCAGTTTGCATATCTATGTTGAGCACATAACTTGTGCTCAGCCTCTAGTAAAACATTTGCAATACTGCATTGGTCAAGTCATATAAAAGATAAAGTGTAAGTAAAATGTAAGTTCTAGAGATTAAAGTATTACTACTAAAGAGAAGTTGTTCACCTTTTGCATATTTGACATGGTGGTCACATTAAAGCCATTGGCTATTTCTATAAACCCCTGTAGCCATTGAATAAACCATGTCCAGTTTGTGCCATTTTCTTTTAAAGTCAAATCAAAAACTAAGGGGTATAAAGAGTCATCACCATTCTCCTCTTTGCTCAGTTGCACTTATGGATGCTGATATGGATATTTAGATCCTCCTTTACTTTTCTTTTCATTTTGACGAGCTTGTATTGAGAGTAATTTTGAATTTTTTTCTAGAAGTGCTCAACTAACCATGATGAGTAGCTTATAGGTTCTTGTAAACCCTAGCACATTTATGCTTAGTACAAAATGTCTTAATCTTCAAACTTGGGTTGGATCTATCTTTGAAAGCATACATCATGAATGGACAACCCTCTTGACATTTAAACTGCTCTTTGGTTGGTTCACTCCTAACCACTCTAAGTTTCATCCCCATTTTAATTGCATATCTATCCACAACCCTTGTAAGCTCCTCCTTGTCAGGAAATGTCAAACACAACATTAAAAGGGCCTTGCCTCCTCCCTTATCAGGCCTTCTCACTTCATCTAAAGGCCCTTTAATCATCATGGCCCAAAGACCCCTTAGAGCTATCAATTTAAGTGCTAACAGACACATCACTATCATGAAATTCAAAATCTAAGATTTCTTCAGTGTCACTTGTCACCCCTATAACTCCCATCCTCACTATCATACTCTTCACCCTTATCAGACACATCCTCATGAGATTCAAAGGCTTTGACACATCTATTTATTTGTTCTACAATCTCTTCAGGTATGTCTTCAATACCATCTATATCTTCTACATTATCAAATCCATCTACATCATCAATTATATCTTGCATATGTTCTATATTAGCATTTGACACACCCTCCATAATTTTCAATTTAATTACTTTATCACTAGATAATAAACCATCACCATAAATCATATTATCTATAATTGTGTCATAATCACCTCAAAGTCTTCATTTAGTCTCTTATTATCCTTTAGTTGTAAGGTCAACCAATTCACAGTAGTTGGCCGCATGCTCAGCTTGAGTTGCCTTGTCTGTTCCTTCTAAATGATTGCCCTCTCCTTGTACTGCATTCTCCTCCCCTATCTTGCTTTGAAATTAGGAATTAAAATGAATTTAAAGGGCTTCCATGGGATTTCACTATACGTTTTATTTAAAAAAAAAAACTTTTTGAATGAATCAAATCTCACCTATGATTCCGTATTGTCATTTGCAGACTATAATCCTAGTAGTAGATTCTCCTGTAACACGTGCCCCACTTTCTCCATAGTCTTGACTCTTACCCAGTCACGCTTTGCCTTTCGCTTAATTCGCCATGCTCTCACCAAGCTGTTTCCATGATTTCAAACCTTATTAGGTCAGAGATCTCGAGCTTTAAGTTTAGATGTCACACAGCAAAATAACAAAGTACCTTGACCTAACTTAAGTTCAAAGGATTAATTGTGACTCAGGAAATGCCAACAAGGATCACCTTTCATGTATAAATGTGCAAAAAATTTCAACTGTCAGCTTACGCGTGCACTTTCACGGTTAGTGTTCACTAGCTCAAATGGATATGACATAGTTGCACTCATTAATTTAATGTTTGTGACCTTTTTACACTCTTCTTTATTTTCTGATATTGGGTGTTCCTTGCTAATTACTTTATTTATAGATTTTTCTTTTAATCCTAACATATTTTATTAAATTTACCCATCATATAACGCATCTAAATATTACAATAATAAATTTGCAAATTATTTCCAAGGTAAAATAGAAAAATGTTATTTAATATTGGTCTGAAACTCCAAAAAGACAAATAAAATGAAATAAATTTCTTCTTATAAGAAGACGAAGAAAAAAAAAATCAAGAATTTAAAAATGTTGTTTATTAACCAGGTACTGACATGATTCTTTAATTCTGCACCGATGATTATGCTCGAAAGCGTTCCCTTTAATATTTTTCTTTCCCTGTTGACGATAGTTTCAAGGCTGTTCAATTTGTACTTTTTTATTTGCCGTCCCAAAAAAATGTACTTTTTATTATACTTGCACGGCAAATTTGTGTGTGACTAACTAAACCCTTCTAAAAGAAAGTTTAATATGATTTCGTGGTGTATAAGCCCTTCATTTTTAATTTATTTGCAATGTTGTTCAATCAATATCAATTGATACAAAATATAAAATTTATAAAAAAATAACTCTTTAACAAGAATAAAAAATAATATAAGACCAACAAAAATTGATCCATTTAATAATAATTTGACTTATAACTTATAAGGTCGCCTAATCAAATTCTACTACTAATATAAAAATTTTATTGTAATTAATTTATGAGTATTTTTATAAGTGTTATTTGAACATGAAAACATGCTCTAACCTAATGAACTCTCGCAACCTACCTCATCTGAACTTTTTTTTAATAAAAAAATAAAAAATATGAAACATTTTTCAGACGTTGTAGGATATAAAGAACTACTAAGCAATCTCACTTCAAACTTAGGCCCTTCCATTCGTTTCTTTTGTAACTCCATACTTACAAGTTAACACTCAATCATTGATGCGTTGTTACTAGATGAACAAAAATCTACATGTAAAAAAAGGAAAAATACAAAATCTAATGTTAGATTGCTATAGACAAAGGAAATAAAACAACAGCAATGTCAAAGTGCTTTGTGTTATTGGGAGGCAGAAGGAAACATTTCCAACGGCCTCAAAATTGAGAGGCGGTATTTAAACTCCTCTTTATAGCTTTACTATTTAGCTTGGTCCATATTAAGATGAGAGAATTATTTTAAAAATCCCACTCAATATAATTAATTACTCTTAAATTTATTGACATCTAAACTTAAAAAAATGATAACACAATGAGACTTGCATGCCGTCCTCCCTCTTAAGATTTATGACAACGACAAGAATGATCGTGTTGGAAATTTAAAACAACTCACTTGCACAACAGAACTTGTAACTTGAGTAAAACCCCTAGAGACAGCTTAAAAACCTCAGAATTAGAATTGAAAGTTTTAAAACATTTTTTTTACTTTGAGTTTATTTAAACCACTTGAATAAATTTAAAAAAATTTAGGCCAAATTCGAACATGAATGAATTTAACCCAGATACCCAAATTATTTTTATTAAAATTAGAAAAAAATTGAATGTCTTAATTGTTTTAAGAAAAAAATTGAAGTTAACCAGAAAAAAAAAATAACATTTAACAATTTGGATATATAAATAAATTCAAATAAGTTTAAAAACTTGAGGTGTTAAAACTTGACTATATAAGCTTTTTTATATTCTATGTTATTTTAAATCTGATTTGAATGAGCTTACCCCACTAGATTTACTGGATCTGCTATACAAGTTCACGGGCACAATAAAAGGCAACACACACTAGAAGCTTCATTTTTTTTTCTTTTTTGGGGGTCAAATTTAGAGGCAACAATATTAACACGCATCAATAATTACAGACACACATCAAATTACAATGAATGAAGGCTATGACGATCACTGCACAGCTTCAAGCTCATTTGATCACAAGGAACAAGATGATGTATTCAGTGCTCACCATAGTGAAAATCGAGTTACCAATGCATAATTTCTTACTCGTCATGTTTATTTGAAAAGTTTTATGTGAAGAAAAAGATGGTGCTGCTTCAGAATTCAGATTGATAACTCAGACTTTGATACAACGTTATTAGATCACAAGGAACAAGATATTCCGATCAAGAATTCATCAAGTATACAAAAATCGAATTACCAGTGGATAATTTCCAGCCAGTCATGAGAAGAAGCTGGCACAGCTTGAGAATTCAGGTAGACAACTCAGCCTTGGACACGAGGATTCCATCATTATCAGCATACAACCATTCTCCATCATGAATCAGAGCTCCTGCAATATACACAGAAACATGCTTTTCACCAGTTCCTTTCTTGTTTGATTTCAGTGGATTCGTCGCCAAGGCTCGCACACCGACATCACATCCATTGATCTCATCAACATCTCTAATGCATCCATTCAACACAATCCCAGCCCAGCCATTGTTTTGAGCCAATTGCCCCAAATTGCCTCCCACCAAAGCACATCTCGTGCTTCCTCCTCCATCTACCACTAGAACTCTTCCTTCACCCTTTGTTTCAAGAAGCTCCCTCACCAACACATTATCCTCAAACACCTTTAGTGTCACAATCGGGCCTGAGAATGCTCTCCTATGACCATAACATTGGAAGATTGGTTGCAACACACGCAAATCACCAGTTGGTACATGTTTTGCATTTGAATCACAAATGTCTGAAGTTGCTAAAGATGCCATATTTCTAATGCAGCTCACTGCAATCACTCAATCAAACATGCATAAAATCAGATGATTTCCAGTTCTGAAAATTTCACCAAGAACATCTCATGAAAGTGGAAGAAATTCTTGCATGGACCGATTTACCACATCATTTATAGACTGTCGAACAGAAACATGCTTTGTCAAATGGCTATAAATATAAATTGATTATTCCATTGATGATTAAAAAAAAGGCAAGAAATTAAAAAGATTCCCTATTCCAAAAACAAAATCATTAAAAATATGACATACTTCCTCTAATTCTATTTATAAAATACTTTTTAGAAATTTTGCCCGGTCCTTAATAGAAGACATCTTGTAGAATTTGGTGAAGCTAATGAGTTATTTTAAAAATGCTTATGTATCCAATTGATTCATTTAGGTGGTATGCTAGACTTTAGATTTAAAAACAAAATTAATCATTTTAATCAAGGATAATTTGGGAGTTCTACAAAAAATTTCTAAAAAAAAAAATCAAGACTCTTAAACTAATTTTAACAACTTTTCCTAATCACATGATTTGATTGAAATGGTATAGAGCATGGATGGATGACACGGCTCACAGGTCAAAGCAAGAATTTCTCAAGTGAAAGACCCATACTCACCTTTACCAAATCTATAATTGATGTTACAGGCTAAAGGAGTTGAAACGCGTGGGCGTGGGAATGGGATGCTCGTGATGGGTCTAAGCTTCCACAATAGGAAATGGAAGCAATTAAACTTCTGAATCTGCTGATGATGGTGAGCGAAGTACTTCTGCAAAAGAAAGTCATGCGCACTGCAATATGAAGAATACTCTGCTCCAAGTCTAATAGACACAGCTAATAAAATTTGGGAGGATAAGATTTAAGCTAATTCTTGCAAGCGTCATAAATTTTGTCAAGTATTTCCAAATTATGGGCAACAATTCACCGAAAACGAGGGGAAAAAAATTACTCAAGAGATTGATTCAGACTTCATTTTCAAGCCAGGCAGATCAAAACTAGTGGAACATTCAGCGAAATGTAAATTTACTGGTTCAAGAAGCGGATAGTTGATGAGATTCAAGATTCCAACAACTACAAAGAAAAGGGTTACGAAGGCTGAAGATTACCTGGACGAGAAATGAGAATAAAGTTGGTGGATTTTACATCGTTAAAATATCTTCAGATCGCCATCGCCTTCACCGCCTGGCTGCTCTCCTCAACCCAAGATATTTTGTTTTCTCACCAAACTCTTCTAACTTTTTTTTTTTTAATTGATATGGAGTCTTTTTCCTGGACGCATGTGTACGTGGCACGAATCGGATAACATAAACTAATCCCAATTTAATCTATCTAGTATAGAGGTAACGAGCATTGTTAAGAAATTTCCAGAGAGCTTCCAAGAGAAGACACTATGCTGAATCTGTTCAAGGTTTTGACGGAGCCTGCCGCTGCAGTGACCATATTGGCGACTAGTACAACTCAGATTATTCTTTTGTCCTTGAAGGGAGATTATAGATTCTTTATTCACTCTTTTTTTTTCCCTCATTTTTATATAGAAAAAATAATAAATGAGGAAGAAGAAGAAAAAATAATAGTAAAGAATGGAAATATTGTAAAATTTCCCAATAAGAAGTGAATTGGGATTAAAAAAATTTGATAAATATTGCAAGATTAAAAAAATAAGTTAGAAATAGAGCCAATAATTCGAATAGGCCGGGCTTATTTGAGTCGGGCTCAATCGGGTTATGTTCATTTGGATTAGGTTTAAAGTATTCTATCCATTTTAAAAACTCATATAGCCAAGTCGGACTCTAACACCTTCGGGTTTCGAGCTTATTTGCGCAGGCCCAAATACCTAAGACTTTTTAAAAATATTTTTACTTTATTTTTTAAACTAATTTTAATTTTTAAATAATTCTATTAAGTATAAAATATTATTTTAATTTTAAAAGAATAAAATAAAAAATAACTTATCAACTTTGTACTTAAGTAGCTCTATTATTGTTTTGTTATATTATGTGTAATTTATTCATGAATGTTTCTTTTACTTGTAAATTAATGTCTTAATTATTTAAATATTACTCTTATTATAGTCATATATAAATGTTTTATATATTTTAATTAAATTATATTATTTTAATTATGATTAGATTGATCTCAATTCAATCACAATTAGATTATTGACTTAAAATTATTGTCTCAATAAGTTCAAAGTTTTTAATAATTTTTGGATAAATTGTACTTTTCATTTTTATGAATATAAAAAAAATAGTAATCATTATATTATATAAATCAAAATTATTTAATTATGAGTAAAATATTATTTTTTGGAATCATTTTTCTTTAACTTTTTATATTGTTTAACTCTTACATACAAGAAATTTTTACTCTAATTTATTATTAATTTTTAACCAAGTCTAAGAAGGACAATAACCAAGTAATTATTCAAGAATATTTTTTTATTTATTATGTTTATCTAATAGTAGAGTCGAGAATTTGTACATACCCAAATTTTATTTTTACTTTAAAATTAATTATCTTATTTTTTAAAAAATATATAATTAATTTTTTTATACACAAATGATGTATAAGACTTAAATTTTTTTAAAAGAAATTGGGTCTTAAAATATAAAAATTAATATTAAAATATATTTTAAATATTATTTTGAGATATTTTATTGATTAAAAATAATAAAAATATGAAAATATAACTATTTTTAATTTTTTTTAAAAATAACTATAGTAATATACTCAAATATACAGTAATTTGGTATAAAATGATATAAAACTTAAAAAATTAATTAATATTTATTATATTTTATATATTTTTTAATTTTTTTTAATTCGAGTATTCGGGCAAAGCCCGAACTCAATCGAGCTTGACCCAAATTTTCTCGAGCCTATTCGGGCGGCTCGAATAGACTTAAATATTAAAATATTAATTTTTTTTGGGTTTGGCCTTAAATTTTTCGGGCAGGTTCGGGCTAGCCCATTAGGCTTGACCCAAATTACCGTCGGCTCTAGTTAGGAATGATATCACCAAAGTATGTTGAGAGAAGAGAAGAGATGCTTGCACAAGTATTTATCTCAATTTAACTCCAATTACTTGAGCCTATATCTACTCCGTAAGTCACATTTGAGATTTTCTCAACTTACTCTACTAAGATTAATCTAGATTTTTAGTTGCTTCAGTACAAACTCAAATCTCAAGTTTGAAATACTCTCCCAAAAATAATGTTACAACCCTCTTAAACTCTTCAAACTTAAGTTCTTTGTTTGAAGTAGTGAAAACAAGGATAAAAAGAATATGTTCGATAATAAACAACTACTGTTAATAATTCTCTCTTAAAAGTAGATTTACAATTCATGAAGATAAGAAATAATGAATATAACAATAAAAAATTAGTAGAAAATTGAATGCAAAAGTTTGTGCGTAATAACTCTTCTTGTGTATGTTTTCATAAATGTATCTATTTATAGTTATATACGATTAATAGTTTATTAGACATATTTAATTAGCTGTTAAACTCATCTTCATCTTTCCTCTTGAGCTTCTCTAGAAATGAGGTGATGGCATAATGCTTTTCAGTGGAGTTGAGTGCTTATAGCAAGTAAGAAAAATAACAGCTATATGCATTTAATACTCTGACAAAAAGTATGTTGGTTAATACTGGTGGAGCTAAATGAAACATGAGTAAAGAAAAATGTAAGAATTGATGAGTGTTTAATTGTATCTAAGGTTGTGTTTAGAAGGTTTCTAGAAAGGTAAAAAGTTTAGCACAACATTTAGAAACTAAAAAGAATAAGAAACAAGTGAGACTAGTCTAAGTTCACAAGTTTTGGAACATAGAACGAGACGCAAATATTAGTATTGGTATTGGTAACTACAATACCATATGCTTCCTTTGTCCTCATAATAAGAGGTTTTTTAGAATTTTTTGGTCTCTCTTAAATCAAGGTGAATAGAGAAGTAGTACCTTCTAGATGCCAAACTTTTGAGCTTCCTACAAGCATTTGGACTTCAAGAGTTGATAATATAGATTGGCTCTCTCTACCAGTATTCACACGAGTAGCTTTTAACACAGATAGCATGCTAGCACTCCAAAAGTCCATATGTCTTTTTAAATGTTGAACTTCTCTTTTTCTTTAGAATATGATCATGATACTCAAGTGGTTTTACCATCAAGAGTCTGTCTCTCTCTTTATAGGGAAGCTCGTCTCTCTCTATATTATATAGATTGGGGCTTTGTTTTCCTTTATGAATTTTCAAAATAATCACATTTATTTTAAAAATCATATCTTGAGCTAACAAAATAAAATTTAATTTATCTCATAAATTAAATATATGATATCATATCTTATTTAAATTTATCTCATGTATTCAAATTATAGAATGATATGATATCCTCTCATGTCATGTTAATTATTAAATTTAATTTATCATATAAAATTAAATTTAAAACTAACATAATATAATATAATATAATATAATATATCATACACACACACACAAATACATATTCTGAATATATATATATATATATAAAGTATTATATTTTGAATTTTATATTTCATATATATATATTTATTTATTTATCAGATATATATTCAAATATATATATATATATACATGTGAACATTATATTTTGTTCGGGCATTTTTTTAATAATAATAAATAACTAAAAAAATATAAAAATATAAAAATAAAATTTAATCCTTTTTTATGATTATATTTTCAAAAAATAAAAATAAAAATAATCTAACAAAAAAAATAATAATCTTGCTTAAATATTTAAAAATCTCTCTCAAATTATCCCAATCATCCAAGACCTTGTGAATCAACTTTTAAGACCCAACTATTTTTCTCTCAAAATTTTTTTAAAAAAATAATAAAAAATATGTAAATATATGTATATTCTTAATCTAATTTCAAATAAAATAAAATTTCAAACAAAAAAAAAGTCTAAAAGGCTGTGCCACAGCCAAAAGCATTTCCTTTCGGCGGTCAAACATCAGAGAGGAAAGTCAGACGCAGTAGAAAAAGAAAGCAGAAGGAGCACACACGCAAAAAACATTGAGAAGCAGAGATGACGTACGCAAAAGAAGAAAATGCACATAAAGAAAGTAGAGGGAGTAGACAGAAAAGATGTATAGAAAGAAAGCCAGAATAGCACACATGAAACACAGACCATAGAGAAGTAAACATAGAACAGAAGAAAAAGGAAGAGGAGAGAATGCCGGAAAGACCAGACTCGCATGCACAGAGAATGCGCAAACAGAAACCAGAGTCATAGAGGTAGAAAGATCAAAATGAAAATGTAGAGTAGAGAAAAAGGAAAAGTACCAGTCATGCGGCAACGCCAGAGATGAGGGAGCTTTCAGCACACGTAAAAAATGTAGCGGAAGAGAAGGGAAAGCAAGAAGCGGAGCAGGTGAGTAATCATTCATCCCTTCTATTCTCTATATAAGGCTAGAGAGCAGAAAGCCGAGGAGGGAGGAGGCGACTGAGAGTTCGAGAGAGAGTATTTTTTGAACAAAAAAAAGAGACTGAGAAGAGACCGAGAGAGATGAGTTTTGTTTTTTGAAAAAAGAGAAAATGAGTTAGAGATAGAAGAAGAAGCAAGGACGAAGGAGAGTAGAAAACTGGTGAGCAGAAAATTGAGAGGGAGAGACCAAGAATGGAAGCAGAAAACCGAGAAGAAGAGATTGCGATCAGAGGGAAAGAGTTCTGAAAAAAAGAGGCTGAGAACAAAGGAGAAAGGACCCGCATTTTTCAGAGGGTAAACATGGAAGAGGCACTACACAGGTTTCCTAATCTATTTGCTTTCAGATCTAGAATATTTTACAATTGATTTCATTTTAGCTTACATTTTATAAACCTCTAGGTTTTGTTGCTGCATATGAACACTACAAAGGTTACATATTATTCTTGCATGGCTTGGCTTTTGAAATCATTTCTTTTCTCTTTGTTCATGAATTTGGATGGATTAAATGGTTGAAAACATTTGTTTGATGTTCATCAAAGTTTTGGATTAACTGTTGCTTTAATTTTGAGTTATGTGGGACTGTAGGTGTGCTTAAGATATCAATAAAAAGGGTATGGGAAATCAAGCATTGTATTGAATTCTTGGATACGAGGTTCCTCTAGGGAAGACTTAGTTATTTGAGATTGCTAAAGTGCTTGTTCTTCGATTTGGTTATCTTGAAGAGTTTTCAAAAAAATTGTGATCACATGACTTTATATATTTAACAGATGGAATGTTGTGAAAATACCTTTTGAAACAAAAGTCTTATGTGGAAAAAATGATGGAACCTTTCAAC